CACCACCACATTATGGGTGCCAGGTCCGAGCATTCCTAGATGAACAGTTTCCTGGAAAGTGGATTGGTCGTCGTGGGCCAGTTGAACGGCCCCCAAAGTCTCCCGATCTGACCACCTTAGACTTTTATCTTTGGGGTCATCTGAAGGCAATTGTCTAAGGTGTGAAGATACGAGATTTGCAGCACCTGAAACTACGGATACTGGTTGCCTGTGCTGGCATTTCTCCTGTGGTGTAGCTATCAGTGTGTGAAGAGTGGGAGAAGAGGGTTGCATTGACAATCCAACACAATGGGCAGCACATTGAACACATTTTATAAGTGGTCAGAAACTTGTAAATAACTCATGCAAGAATAAAGTTACTTTGAAACCAAGCACACCATTGTTTTTCTTGTAACATTACCAATAAGTTTGATGTGTCACATGGCCCTCTTCCTATTAAAAAAACAAAAGTTGTATCCAAGATGGCCGACTTCTAAATGGCAACCATGGTCACCACCCATCTTGAGGATTTTGCCTCCTCACATATATTAATGTGCCACAAACAGGACTTTAATATCACCAACCATTCCCATGTTATTACTGTGCATCCATATAAATGGCCCACCCTGTATATCAATATTTCTGTTCGAACATGACTGTGCACCAGCGCACACAGAACACCTTTTGGATTAATCAGAGTTGAGACATCAGTGTCTGACTTCACAAATGCACTTCTGGAAAAATTGTCAAAAATCCCCATGAACACACTCCTTGTGGTTTTTCTGGCTTTTCTTCTATGCTATTTTGGTAAAATATTGTTTAATTCATTGCAGTTGTTTAAAGGTTATACCCTTTAAAATGTAAAATTCCTGTTTTGTGGGTATATCCTATTTTCACTGTACTAATATTTCTAATGCAAATGTATGATAAATGATGTGTGAATTCATCTTTCAAATGCTGATACTGTATAAATGTTGACTGTCTTATTTTCAATTTGGATAAAGATTTGCAATAGAAGTTAGCACACTAAAGCATCTGCTTGTTCCATTATCAGACTTACATGATGAAAAGTGAAACCAGAAACTGAAAATTTACCTTAATATAAAAGTTGTGCCTTTTGATCATTGTGGCATAAAAGACAATGTAATATAAAAGTAAGAAACAAGTTTGCAGCAGTTCTGTGGACGAAAACACCAAACAAAAAGCTTCAGTAACTAACAGTTACAGTGACCAAGACAGTTAAATGTTAAATAGTAAATGGAATGACTCTTACAGTATATAACTTTTTCTATTCTCCCAGAGCACTCAAAACGCTATATAAGGCAATCACTCTGTACAGTAGACCTGAATTGGAAAACTATCACAGAATGCACTACCCATAATGCGCCTTGTAATCGGAAGGTTGCCGGTTTGAGCCCTGGCTTGGGCAGTCTCGGTCGTTGTGTCCTTGGGCAAGACACTTCACCCGTTGCCTACTGGTGGTGGTCAGAGGGCCCGGTGGCGCCAGTGTCCGGCAGCCTCGCCTCGTCAGTGCGCCCCAGGGTGGCTGTGGCTACAATGTAGCTTGCCATCACCAGTGTGTGAATGTGTGTGTGAATGGGTGGATGACTGGATATGTAAAGCGCTTTGGGGTCCTTAGGGACTAGTAAGGCACTATATAAATACAGGCCATTTACCAACCATAAAGTGGATTGACTATGGAGAATATGTTTGAGTACACCAAATGTGTCCACAGAGCAGAGATTTGTTCATCAGAATGTAAATTTCTGCTGAACGTTTTGACATTTTGGTGTCAGTGTCATGGATCCAACCCTCCATGTGTTGACAGTCCAGGCTGGTATTCGTACTGTAACAGAGCAGGGTTTTTTTTTCTTAGTATGCTTTGAGCCATTTGAGTATTGTTGAGTATTGTATTGTTGCATCGCCTTTTAGACTCAGTTAAATATGTTCTAATATTCAAGTATGATAATCCACCATTTCATTTTTGTGAGCATGTAAAAGGCTGTATTTAAGAAAAGTGGTTGTATGGATTGAAACACTCAATTTCTGAATGTATATAAATATACATACTAAATAAATATAAATACAGCTTTAAAGAAAACACTTAAATGGAGAAACACTGCATTAATGAAAAATATAAGAAGAAATAAAGAGGTTAACTGTTAGTCAAGTTGCAAGCCAAGAAGATGAGAGGAAATAGACATACTGTAAAAGCTGGCCATTACATAGTTTTGGCAGCGATCACCAGTAAATTCAACTGGACACCTGAGTAGGAAACATGAGAAATAAAGAAGAAGAGAAAGAGGGTGTTAGTTTATGTCATATGCAAAACCCACAGTCATCACTGGTGTTATGGATATCTAAACCAGCATGTCTACCTATTGAGTCTTTATTTAAAATTACCCTTTCAGACTACGTTGTATATTGCATAAGTCATAAATGACAGATGATCAATTCTAATTTAGTGATTACAGTTAACCTAATTTAACTACTCTCTTTGCAACAGACTGAAATTTGCATGTATGTAATAAGACAATTAGGATAACCCCAGTTGCATAAATTTCAGACAAAATAGAATTAAAGACCCCAGTAATGGCTCCATTACTCTTGGTCATTCAGTACTGCAACAGGTAATCCCTCTGCTCTCTTGTATGTGACATTTATTTTCCAACACTACGTTTAGACTTGAAAATTTACAGCGACCTGCTAACCTGCTCAAGATAAATATGCAGTGAAATATGCAGTGCTGTTGATCAATATTATTATTATTATTATTATTATTATTATTATTATTATTATTATTATTACTACTACTACTACTATTTTGAAATTTTTTCACGCTTACACATTTCAAAAACGTTTTTAATATGTTTAATACACAAAGATGTCCCGAGTACAAGTTACAAAATGCAGATTAGAAACAATCATTTTATTTTTTATACATAATAGTTATCCACCTACCTGGCTTTATGTAACACAGTTACTTAATGTTAAATCTTGAATTAACTATGATTAACTGGATTAAGAACCGCAAGCCTCACTTGCAAGACTGATATGATTCAACAATATGAAAGATACTAGATAAAAATTGGCATCCTGAGAAAACCACAGTTGATCAAAAAGAATTGTCTCACATTTCCCCCCAAAAATACCTCAATGAACCCCAAGACTTTGGGGAAAATATTCTGTGGATAAATGGGACAAAAGTTTAACTCTTGGGAAGGTTTGCATTCCATTACACGCTATATAAATGCAATCCATTATCATTATTATTATTACAATTGGAATAAATTAAACACGTTTCATAAAAAAAACATCATACCAACAGTCAAACATGGTGGTGGTAGTATGATGGGCAAGGCCTGCTTCAAGGTCTGGATTAAGTACCCCAATTTATGGAATCATGGATCAAAATACAACACAAACAAAAAATAAAAATAAAAAACAAAGTCAAGGCTTTGTAGTGGCCTAGTCAAAGGTTAAATCCATCTGAGATGGTTTGGTATGACATTAAACAGGCCATACATGCTTCAAAACCTTCCAGTGTAGCTGAATTTTGCAAAGAAAAGTGGGCCAAAATTCCAGTGATCTGAAAGACATTGTCAGTTATTGCAAATGCTTGATTGTAATTCTTGCTTCCAAGTATGGCACAAACAGCTTATAGGTTTAAAGAATAGCTATCTTTTTTACATAAGCCCATGTAGGTTTAAATAGCTTTTTCTCTTAAATTAAATCATTTAATAACTGCACTTTGCATTTACTCAGGTAATCTTTGGCTGATATTAAATTTACTTTGATGATCTGTCACATATCAGCAAATATCAAAAAAAAGAAAATATCAAAAAAAGAAAGAAAAGAAATCAATAGGACTGTAGCACTGTAGGTTAGGGGCAACTTTCATCTGCTCTTATGCATTTTCAGATAATTTTAAAGCTTTTCAATAAGCTGTAATATAGTGGTATAATCCTAAACTATTGCATCTAATATTGTTATTATTGTTCATATCATTTCTACATCTAAACCCAATTACCAGTTTGGATTTTCCTTTTATATTTCATAAATATATTTATATTTTCCTTTTTATATTTCTTTAATGTGCTGACACAATTTAACACTTTCTGAGTTGCAAATAAAAGAATAGGGCTTGAGTTAGACTTGTACATCATGGGTATATCTTGATTTACGCATTTGTTTAACTAAATCCACAATTTTGACTATAGCCAGATCTCCCTGTATTGTAATAATAGAGATTATTGAGTTTAATAACTGGCCACTTATTTTCAGCTTTCCTTTCTAGCTTTGAATAAATAGTTTATTTATACAACGTTTTATATAATGCTGACTACTAAAAGCAATTAAAATACACGCACATAATTTAGCTGTTTTAATAATATAGGCCTATATACTGTCTATTGATTTTCTTATCATACACTCTCATACTCCGATGCTTTGAATTCCATAGTTACACAGGTATATTTAGATGTATTGTGTGTTTAATTACTTTATTTTAATATTAAACCTTGTAAAAGCTTGTAGCTAAACTGGTGAAACCCTCGGTTGAGTTATCAGGCTGATAACCACTTTTGTGACTGATAGTATGATAGATGATATTAGCATAAGATAAAGATTTGGAGAATCTGAAATTGCTTTGCACTACAGAACCCAAATTGTACAAGAACATAATCAATGTTTTGTTTTCTGATGATCTGGCAATGTGGCTGAATGCAAAGAAACACCACTTCATACTGAAGTGGAGATCACTGGTCTAAACAGGATGGATGAGGTGTGGTGAGATGTGAATTACATGCAAATTCACTGCAGAAGAGAGTATGCTTAAGCCTTTAGACCATGTTCTACATAGAGTCTACTTGAACTTGGAGAAATAAGTTCAGCATGCTCACCAAGTTTATATCTGTGCATAGAAGGCAACATGAATTTCTCCACTATTTCCTGGAGAAAATATGCTAAGAGTGAAACACCAGCAATGACATGTGGGACTAAATACAGTTGTATTCACATACGTTTTGGGTCTGAGACATTCTTAAGAACTGCTTGTTCACATCGGTGCCCAGTGAATCCAGCCAAGCACCTAGTTAATGGATAGAAAGGACAAGACAAAAACAGCACCTACTGTTATCCACAGGACGCAAACACTCAATGACACACAGTCACAAAACATACTATTTTCCAAGATAGAACTTTATCATATAATGCTTTTTTTGTTTAAAAAAAAAAATCTAGATATAATGTTACAATTACAACATAATAAACATAGTGGGAGTTCCCAACCTGGATGGGAGGCATACCAAAAAAGCCCTATAACACTCATGGTCTTTAGGAACTTAGGGTGATCCTCATCCACCTCAGTGACCCAGCCACTAAGGAGTTGTTCAGCTACCTCAGTGACTTTTTTTAAGTAATGGGCAAATGGGCAAATCATTCCCCTCACTGTCATGGAAGGATAGGCCCCTGGACAGGCTATCTGAAAGCCCCACAGTATCTTATCTTAGCTCAATCATTGTCAAATGGCGTATCACATTTTGACCTCAAGACTTCCAGGCCATAACTTAGCACAGATACACCGCATGCCAGCCACTTGGTTATGGCGTTCTATGTATGTCTCGCTGGCTAGCATTTTGAACCCTGTTGTTATGTGCCTGATTGTTTCAGAACTTGTTTCTGTTCTGCCATGATTACTGCATCTGTGCTGTTTTTTCAGCTTTACCCAGCCAGTGGTAGGATTTCTGGCTGTTAGTCAATTCTACCATCTGCTGGTGGTACATACCCTGGAGGGCCCTGTCTATCCATGATGGTTCTTCTCCTAGTCTACATTGTCAGCAAATTTCCCTTCTGGTAGTACTTTTGCTCTCTTTGTTACCATCTGGCTAAACTTCTCCAGTCCAAATGACATTCTGATGTTGTTGCTATGTTGCTATGTTGCTATGTTGTTGCTTGTTCCTGGTGGTATGGATCGATGAATCAATGCCTCATTCACTCCTGGAATACAGCATGATATCATCCATGTAGAGGAGGTGGCTGACAATTGTTCTATTACGTATTCGGTACCCATAGCCAGTCTTGTCAATGATAGCACTATGGGGGTTCGGGCCTATACAGAACAGCAGTGAGGACAGGGCATCTCCTTGGTAGATCCCGCACTTGATGGTGACTTGTGTGTTTGGCTTGAAATTGTCCTCTAATGCTGTTCACCACATCCCCATTGAATTCCTGATGAATGCTCTTAGGGTCCTGATGATCCTGTATAGTTCTAGGCATTCCAGGATCCATGCATAGGCATTGAGTCATCTGCTTTCTTGTAGTCAACCAGTGGTACACAGGTTGGTCAATCTACAGGGTGGGCCATTTATATGGATAAACCGTAATAACATGGGAATGGTTGGTGATATTGAAGTCCTGTTTGTGGCACATTAGTATATGTGAGGGGGCAAACTCCTCAAGATGGGTGGTGGCCATGTTTGCCATTTAGAAGTCGGCCATCTTGGATACAACAAGAGAGTCATGTGACACATCAAACTTATTGGTAATGTCACAAGAAAAACAATGGTGTGCTTGGTTTCAACGTAAATTTATTCTTTCATAAAGAAGAAAGAACCAAGCACACCATTGTCATTAAATTGAATTGATTTTTTCTGTGTTCTACTGAGAATAAAATATGAGTATATGGGATTCTAATGTTTTCATCAGAAATCATCATGTCTACTTTTCAGACAATATAGGTTGGATTTAGTTAGTTAAGCAGGATAAAGTACAAAAATTATTTTGTTCTGGCATTACAAATGCCAGCAGTAGCAGTATTCAGTGAGCTTAACCTACAGTTCATGGCATACCTGCAGAGAAACTTTGTACTGCCCGGGATGATTTCAAGGGTAAAGCACTCGCCTCCATTAACACAGTAGTTCCTCTGACTGTCACTGCAGCGGGTTACGTGACTTGAGGTCTTTGCTGTAGTGGAAGTGCTGATGGTAGCTGGGGAGAGACACCTATAATTAGCATTTCATGAAAACAACACATGCATCCTCGGCCTTAAATATGAATTATACTTCTGCGCCAGACCTATGCCATGACTAGAACACCATTTTAACCCTACCCTACAGGTAACCTTCTCCCCACTTTCCTATTACCCAATGAACAGCTAAGAGTATCCATGCAAGTGGGCTAATGATTAACACGTGTAAACTGTCATAATTATATTTTGTTAAACATATGCATGTTGCATATATAATACATGCAATAAATTACTTCTTGGCCAATAATCTGTCAAATATTGGTCAAACATTTCTCTCATGAAATGTTTGACCAATATTTCAAATAATTTTCAGGCATAAAGAGCATTCCTATCACAAGATAGAAGTGGCAATAACTTTTTGTCAAAGCAGGTAACCCAAATCATGGAGAGGAAATGGCATTTTGCAAACTTAGAAGATTTTGAAATCTTCTAAGTTTGTGAGAAGAAGAGTTGAAAAAATGTTGAACACATTTTACATGCAGTTATTCACATAATTATTAGCGGTAGCTTGCCATTAAAATATCAAAAGCTCCCAAAATATTTTTAGACTTTTATCCACAGCCATTGTGAAGGGATGGATTACATTTCATTGCAATATGCTTTAAGTTGTGCTAATGAAATGAATTGTAGCAATAGTGTGTAAAAGCTATTAGTGGATTAAAATCAGCAATCATTTGCCGAGAGCCATTCCACCTATCATGCGTGAAGATAATTGTCAAAAATGTTGTTTGACAATATAAGTCATCCTAAAAGGTCGTGGTCATAATTCCACAACATCAGTATCTTAGAAATGTAACTCATCAGCTTTTTAAAGGTTATAAACTCCCCTGCTATAGGTTTTTATCCTCTTTGATATTATCTTGATTCTACTAGGCCTCAGCTGCTGGGAGCATGATGTACTGTGTGTTTCTTCTTCACTCACCTCTTTTGACTTTTTATGTATTTCTACAATACGTTGCATTTAATCATTAGTTAACTTTAAAATCTGGCTCTCTTCCAATGTCTTTCTTTTGCCTGTCTTCCTCTGTGCTCTTCCTTTTCTATCACAGCTGATGGCTGCATCTCCCTCCATTTTTCCTCCATTTTTCCAAGCACTTTCTCATTGGGGTTTTCTCTTGATTATTGAAGGGTTTTCAATTTACAGTATAAAGCACTCTGAGACAACTGTTGTTATGTTTTGGTGCTGTATAACTAAAACATATAAGAAGACATGAGGGGGTGGGTAAATGATCGTTCCTTCTAGTTCCCATCAGAACTAGAAGGAAAGAAGGATTTTTAAGGACAACCTGTTAATGAATTAAAATAGTCCAGCCTAGAAGTGAAAAATGCATGAACTACTTTTTCAGCATTGATCTGAGACAGGATGTTTCTATCTTTAGAGGTATTGCACAAATGTAAGAAAGCAGTCATTGAAAGCCATATCCTGGTCAAAACTGACTCCAGACTCTAGAAGATTCTTCACAGTTTTAGAGGAGGCCAAGGTAAAACCATACAGATTAAGCATCTGGTTAAATACATATATCCAAGATTTTTAGGACTGCAACACAGTGCTGTAGTGTGTTGCACTGTTGCCACACAGCAATTAAATACTGGGTTCAAACTCAATGGCCTACATGTGTGGAGTTCTTCCTATGCCTCTCCAGGTACTCTGGCTTCCTCTCACAATCCAAAGATATGCAGGTTAGGTTAGAATAGAATAGAATAGAATAAACCTTTATTATCCCACTGATGAGAAATGTTGGTGTTACAGAGCTCTTAGAGCAAGGGGAGGAGTGATTCTAAATTAACCATAGTTGTATGAATGTTTGTTTGTCTCCATTTTGACCCTGCAATAGACTGGGAACATGTCCTAGGTGTGCAGGTCATCCTCTGACATCTAAGAAAGGGTCTGGACTCTTCATAATCCTTACCTGGATAACTGGTTAAGAAATGGATGGATGAACTGTTATCAATTTTAAAATACTGGAGAAGAGGTGTTTTAAAAAAAAAAAAAAAAAAAAACAGAAAAGGGAAGCGTAAGACAGTTACAATGCATCTCATAATGTCAAACTTCAAAGTGAAACGTTTAGAAAGTACAGACAGTCTTTGGAATAAAGCTGCACTTGCTTCCTAAATTTACAACAGGGCTGCAACTTTGAGATGAGTGATAGGGGAGGAGCAGCAGTGCTATCACCGAGAGACACCAGCTTTGCCAGAAATCAGATAACATTCTACAGGCCAAAACAAGACATTTATACATTTCAGCATCAGAATCTCACTTGGGACACTCAGAAAGAAAATTAACAGAGGTAATTTTTAAACATTAACCTTCTGTCACTGCTGGTATTCAAGCATTCTTAAGTAAAGCACTGTCTACAAACCAACCCCTGACCTACCACCACTACCTCACCACAATACAACACAGAGTGATGTGACTACAAACAAAACAGCCTAGTTGAGAGGCCCAGGCAGAAAGAGAGCATAAATGGATTGGTGTATTTTCCCCTGTGCCTCAGGGATAGTGGGGACATCAGTTAGCTTCAAGAAGGCTCTGACCTTGAAATGTAGCATAGGCAGAAAACAGGAAGTCTGGCTGTGCCACAGCCTGGGTTTTCAGTTTATGTCATGCATCATTTATTGATATGCACTTTTCAGTATATCTCGAAATGTGCATCCACACACTTCAGAGATCTTTCACATTTCTCACGTTTTTTTTGCAAACAGGAAAAACATTTTAAAGAAAACACTGATTGACTTTAATTACTTAAGTCATTTCATTATAATATAAAGGGCCACTTAAACTCTAAAGTGGGTAAAAGAGGATGACTCCCAGAAATCGCACAATTAGTGTATGGGTAAAGTAGATTTAAACTGAAGGTTCAAGGTACACACTTACACAGTTTGTGTAGAAATAGTTCAGGGGCTTACTCATGGCACCGTGTGCAAGTCACAACACATCTGTTTTCAGGTACAGAACATTCTTGTACAGAAAAAAAGAACACTACAAAATGAATGATACAAGAGAAAAAAAGTTATTTGAATCTTATTATATCAACCTGTTTTATCTTTTGCAATGATGAAAATCATAATTTTGTGTTAGCATGTAATGTCTAGCCATTGCAACCTACAGTATATCTAATTTAGGCTCATAAAAATATGTAAGTAACTTAAAGAAAAACCCACTTACAGATTTTTATATAAACAAGTATTGGGTACTTACAGATAGTTTGATGATGGCTGTGTGATTTCTGTGTTGACTTTCGTTGGGGAGTCTGCTTTGGGGTGGTATAGTGTTCAGCGTTATATTTCAGTGTGACAGCAGGCTCAATCACTCGTGAAGACTGAGACACATGCGGCTGTTGTGTAGATTTATCTTCTACTGAAACTTCAGGATGCTCTGGGGTAAGGGTGAAGGTGGTGGTTAGGGAGTTATTTGAAGGAGTTGCATGAGGAAACGAGACTGTTATTCCCAATGTGGGTTCAACTGGTATAATAATTGGGTCTTGTCCAATAGGCTTAGGATCTAAATGTGATGGTGGTTCATACTCAAATATCTTATCCACAAAGACCCATTTGAGTCCAGCTGTGCAGAGGGCTAAGCTAAGCAGACAGGCCAGTATGGGGAGGATGCAGATTTTCTCAGAGTGCAGGCAATTGTTAATCTGTTCCATCTCTATGCACACGCAGCAGGCCTCTGGCAAGGTCACAATTCCAAAAGCCCCCACATGCTCCCCATCGTTACCAGCACCACCTCCTTCTGCAGTTCCCTCTATAGCCTCCTCCCCACTCTCACCAGCTGCCTCTGTCTCCTCTGGTTTCTCTTCTGGGACTTGCCTAGTATCAACAGTAGAGCCAGTGGGGGAGACTGATCCAAAAGGGGGAGCTGGCCCTGCAGAGACTTCCTCCATTCCCTCGGTCATCCTTTCACACTGCTTGAAGAAGTGTTTCTTACCACCTTAGCTATTAACTCAGATCATCACACAATGACATTTTTCCACCAATGTCTTTTAGTATCTTTTCCATTGTGTAGACACAGAGGGAGAGCTGGGTTTCAGAGAAAGGTGATGCCCTTCAAAGAGTGGAACCTTGCTAACAATCCAGGGGATACGTAGACAGTCTATGCATTAGAAATAGGAATTCCTTATTCATGCTTTTTTTTCACAAGGAAAACAACTGTCAAATTTCCTGCAGGCAGAAACAAAAAATACGGAAAAGATTTTTTAAAATGTGCGGTCTACTAGTGAGCAGCAGTGAAACAGTTGTACTCACTCACCTGAATACTTGGGAAGAAAAGGTAGTATCGACGTGATGGGCCAGCTCTAGCTGAGGCAAATGTAGTGCAGAGGACAGGCCAGCCAAGCACTGCAGTGGCAGGAGGGACATGCTGTCTAGTCTTGGGAGCTCCAAACAGCTGAAAAGCTGAATCATCAGGGAGCGGCAGGTGTCCTTCCTCTCAGTGCAGCCACTGAAACAGATGAGTAAGGGGAAAGAGGAAAAAAGGAAATTACACAGAGTGGGAGGGGGGCTGCAGCAGCACAGAAGGGCAGAACTGGATACTCCCCTTTTCTTCTCTCACCCCTCCTCTCTCAATCCTTTATTTTCAAGTGGTGAGCTGTGCAGACTCTGGCCTCCTCCCTCACTGCCTCTCTTCCTGTCTGGTAGTGTGCAATGCAGGCTGCTCCCAATCCCTGTACAAAGCATCAACCTAAGCAAGTTCCTACTTGATCCAATTAGAGCATATGTCAGCAAATCAGAGACAGGCAAACTGCTGTAGCCACACCCTCTAGCACCACTCCCCATTCATTATGCTGGTCCAAAAGGGTGTGTTGGCTTTTTCCTTTTTTTATGCAGAGAAAGCAGCCACATGATCCACCTAAGGGGATAAAGCTGTTGTATCCTACTCATCTCAAGCATCAGGTCTGCACAAATAATAACATGATAAATTTGAGAGAGAGATAGAGAGAGAGAGAAAAAGAGAGAGAGATAGATAGATAGATAGATAGATAGATAGATAGATAGATAGATAGATAGATAGATAGATAGATAGATAGATAGATAGATAGATAGATACTGTTCTTAGGCATTTCTAGCCTTAAATATGGTGTTATGTATTTCTTGGCCTAGATTTCAACATGTATCTTGGTATATAGTATTATGTTTCACTGGATAAAATGGGGATATTGATTCCAAAACTGGCACTTCTTTTTGTATAATGATCAAGTGTGACAGAAAGCCCCAAGACTACCAATAAAACTATTAACTTCCCTCCCCCACTCATACCAGGGCTAGAAGGACAATCCACAGTCCATAGTCTTCTGGATGTGTCGGGGCTTAAACAAGATGGAAACATCTAGAAAGGTCGGGTCACTGCAACACTGAACACTGACACTACTGTGACCCTTTCCACTTACTCAGACAGAATTAATACCATTAATGGTATTTTTTGGAGATGACTTCCTGTCATATTGTGTCCAATATTGATTAATGTTCCGCTTTTGTGTGTGTGTGTGTATAAATATATGTATAAATGGAAAAAGTCTACATTAAAAATATGTACTAAATTACTAAAATTATGTTAAACAGACTTTGACTTTAACAATTAACTCCGTTTTCAGAGAGGCTAATCACAGTTTGTTCAATCAACTCTGATTATGTTCTCTATTAGTTAGGCACATGCATGAGTGCTGCAAAAAACAGAATGCCATCCTCGATGGAAATCCAAGAGTAGAGTCGCCATTTTAAAACAATGGACTGAGGAACATGAATGTGTGTCAGTCCATATGGACATTTATCTTGAAAATATCTACTAAATTACCAACAATTTAGTAGTATTTATTTAACTATAGAAATAATTTTACAGATTTTGCAGAAAGATGCAAAGCAGCACAAATGTTTTGTTTTTTTTATCCGATACTGTAAATCTCAAATTGCTAAATAGTGGAAGATGTTTTTGTCTGTGTATGTTTGCTTCCCTTTCTGTAAAAGTCCCCCACACTATATTCAGTGTTTGCATTCAAAATACATACAGGTCTAAGCATGTCAGAGTTTTCCTAAACACCAAACTCATTTATTGTTGATGCTTCAGAATGAAAAGAGTAGGATGAAACTGAGTAAAGATAAGAATATATGTAGTGACAGCAGTTACATTAATATATTCAGTTTTCATGTTTTGTCTTTAATATTTTCAGTAAAACAGCTACAACTTTCACTGACAGCATATAATATAGTTTTGCCTTTTTCATCTGTTAATTTAGGAGTTAACACAAATCTACTCTGTCATTACAACAATTAAGTGTATTCATCCGAGAGTATAGAATGATTTTTGTCTATCACTGGTTGGTCCTGAGGTCTGAATCTGGGGAAAGCTCATGTAATCACATAGAGAAAATCATCATCAAAAACTATCAAATGTCCCTCAAAACTTAAATAAAGCTGATCCTTCCCTGTCCTGAGTTTTCTGTTTTTTTTCTATCCACAGTTGTGCTGAGAGCTAACATGTGAACTTGTTGTTAAAAAAAAGACACAGCTTTATATAGTAAGCTATTATCTAGTATAAACTTTGAATTTAGTTGTGTTTTTTAAAAATGAAGAGCTCCAAAGATGAGATGATTGGGCAGTTTTCCGGTCCTGGTTCAATTCTGGTGCTGCATCATTATAACCTGCAGGATGACAGAGAAAAACGCATGGAGGTACTTATGTTTGGCAGCTGCATATAAATATAAAATAGACACACATTTACTTTTAAACAGCCATGACTATGAAAATTAAATGCTGACTGATCCCAGGAATTCTACTCTGCACAGTTGTTAAACAGATATACACAGGTCTCTTTGTAATGGAGGATGTCACTTTAAGAGAGACGGACTTGACCTCCTGAACTATGAATGATGAAGATGATAAGGTACTGACTTTATGCATCTACAATCTCAACAGGGTTGTCTAATAAGAACAGAGAACCTATCCACAAAATCCACTGCCACTCAGGTATCTGTCGTTCACTCATTTATTGAACAAGAATCCAAGTTACACATCCATAATGTGAGTGAGGGATTTACTGTAAAATACTGTATGCTGTGTGGTTTAGTCTCACGGACGCAGACCGCTAACAACTCATCCCTTTCCTGTTGCCATTTGTGCCATGTGTGGAGTGAAGGTAGTTAATTTCAAATGTAGTGGATCCAGAATTGATCCACCAAGGCTAGGCACTGCATCCACCTACGATGGCTCAGGAGCTCTGTTAGACCATCACTCTCCATGACAGGAACTGCCAATCAAAGCTGTCATTAATAACCAATTTTACAGCATTCAATTTAGTAATTAAAGTCAGACTTATTAGAAAGATGACTCACTGAACCTAAATCAGTGATTCTGATTCTGAGATAACTAATGCAGCTATTACAGATAACGTTACAGTGTTTAAAATGGTCACCACTGAATGTCAGTAGATTTCAGATTGCAGGTCCCTGAGTTCTGTTTTCTCAGACCCCACCGTACACACTAGAGGGTGGAGGGTCCTACCATCAATACCCCTTACAATGGTACGGCAGTCCACTAGGTTGTACTGCATGCCTTTATGGTGGGACCAGCTGCTGCTGAAGTGGATCTGGAACCAGGCAGGGACATGAAGTATGACAGGATCTCTGGGAGAGTGCGTTTACACTTTGCTGGTTTTTCCCTAGGTCGAAGCACCACCTGGGAGTCTTCCACTTCCAGCTTCTCTAACCAGTGGCAGAGATTATACAATCCCAATCAAAAGTTTAAAACAACTTGAAAAATGGAAAAAGTCATATTTTGCGTGGCTGGATCCTAACAAAGTTCCAAGTAAAGCTTCGACATGCAGCACCAAGAAATTGGAGTCAGACAAAACATTTTTTGAGCATGCAATTTATTGAAAACAACGCTTGAACTGAAACAGGCTGTATTACAGCTGATCAAAAGTTTAGGACCACACTCCAAAAACAACCCATAAACCCCCCAAAACATAATTCAAAGTTCCAAACATGAACTCAGTAATGACTAGCTCGACCATTATTGTTAATCGCTTCAAAAATTCATTTTGGCATGCCTGATGCAAGCATTTCCATGAGGTAAGTGGGAAAAAACTTCCTCTGCCATCCATACCTGTCAATGGAAAATTGTACTTAGTAGTCAGTATAAGCTTTTAATGATAGAATACTGCATGATGACCTTTTTATGACTTAGACCAGTGGTCCCCAACCAGGACCCAGGTCAGACTGACTACTTTTTCTTTTCAAATATTAATCTATTGCTATTAAGTGCTGCATCATTCTGGGGCGCCTGATCCTTTCTCACGGCACACCAATGTGACGCATTGGAAACCGTTTTTCAAGTGGTCTTGATCGGGACTGTATGTCCCAGGAAGGCAACTTTCTCTCAAACTGGGCATTGCTTTGATTGTTTTAGCTTTGAGACATTGCACTAAAAGATTTGTGCAATGTGTTGCATTTTGAAGAGCCAGCAAGAGAATAAATCCATCAGTAAGTGTAAAGGAAATACACAACACCGGTGAGTGATATTGAAACTCTGACCTACCGGAAATCTCCCTAACCTGCTTGTGCCAGAAAACTCATCAAGATGGCAGTCATACATAAGACACTGTTCAGCATTAAGATACACAAGTTTAACAGTATGTTATGAAGACATCCATAAGACAGACACTGAAGTTTTTCCTCTCAAGAGTGACACAAAGACCGAAAAAACTACAAGGGACTCTGTATATCCTAATAACAACAACACTCATATTAAGGTAGGTGGAAATTTTTTATTTATTCCTATTTGCGTTATGTTTCTCATTCATTAGTCATTGAAGAAAAGTATGCTAAAGAACTTGTGTACACTTTAGTAAGCTGATATTTGAAGGAACATGAACATTTGTATTCAAAGGTATTTTTCTATGCTATTATAAAGGTCCTTGTCAACCATAACTGATTGTAAGCCACGTTCAAGTTTTTAAAATCCTTTTAATTACTTAAAATGTTGAATGAAAGATGTGCACCTATTGTGGTTTAGCCTTTTTTCTGTGTGTTTAAGGGCAAAGTTATTAACTACACTGTTTATAAGAGAAAACCTCAGACACAGTCTAAAGTATTTAACATAAAACAAGCACCTGAACCATGGGACATAGATGAGTTTGCACAAGGAGCAACACGGTCTGAGCTGTCTCGTAGAGGGGAAAGAACCTGCAGACTAATACTAAAGGGGAATGCTTTCTTTCTTTTTTTTAAACTCTGCTTCTGCTTCACTTTGATAGTCTTTATGAACATTGGATCCCAGGAACATCCCACAAGAATATATCAGTACTATTCAAGAAAAACTATCCAAACTAAATACAGTCTATGATGAGTTCCTTGTCAACCTTAACTGTATTTTTGTATAGCCCACCTATAGAAATGCACTGCAAACTACACAACTGTGCATTAGTTGCCAGGATGGTTTCACAGAATGCACAGTCTTAAATTCAAGGAACAGGAGAGAAGCTCTGTATTTGTGTCATCCTGGGGAAGGATAGGGTGTATTTTTGGTTTTGCATGATTTGTTTTGAATCTTTTACAGTAATTTTTTTGGTCTTACGTATTGTTTTTTTTTTTTTTGCTTCTTTGTTTGAAAGCTATGAGTTTATGGTATGTTTTATTTGTGGAGTTTGTATTTT